ATGACAATAATATACCCAATGACCTGAAGGATCATGTGTGTTCATTCAAAGAAAGGTTTTCCTATTAATTAATTAGCAAAGAAAAGTCCTTCCCTTGTGGATTTTCCTTATGGGCAAGGAAGCGATTTTCTTCACCTAAATTCCAGGAGGTCGTAAATGTATCGGGTGTCAGCATTGCTATGGAACCAGGGGCCTGTTCAGCTTCCTGGGGTGTTACAGAGTATTTGTTAAATCTAGCTAACAAAATATAAATTGTGTGTTTGAGTGGTCCAGACGCTACAATAGATTGCTGAGAGGATTATTGGTGACTGCTGAAAGGATCATTGGTGCCCCCCTGCCCAACCTCCAAAGTTTTTACACTTCCAGAGAGTGAGGAAAAGGGCTTGTAAAATCACTCTGGACCGCACACACCCAGCACACTCCAACTTTGAACTGTTGCCCTCTGGCCTGCTTTACAGAGCACTGAGCACCAAAACAGCCAGATACAAGAACAGCTATTTCCCCCAGGCCATATTCCAGCTGAATATTTTATTACTATATTGTTATTTATCATTTATTGCCTATTTTCTTTATTATTAGCACTATGTTTGTACTTTCTTTACTGGAAGCTCCTGACACCAAGACGAACTCCTTCTGTGTGTAAACACTTGGCAATAAAGCTCTTTCTGATTCTGATTCTGATTCTGATTCTTATTAATGGGTAGGGGTGGGGTATTATGTTTTATATTAAGGACAGTATTATGTGTAAGGAGGTACAGTTAGCATACAATTTTGATATTGAATGTATTGTTTTAGATGTTTCTCTCTCACCACAAATGTCTTTTAGTATCACTGGTGTTTATCGACCAGCTTCATTAAATAATGAATTTTAGGATAAATTACATAATCTTTTTAAATAAATATTTTCTAATATCTGTACTGAAAGGGGTGCAAATGTTTTAATTGATATTATCCAAAATACTACAAACATTTTTATGAGGCATATTAAATGTAGACCTAGAAAGCAAAATTGTTTACCTTGGCTAAATGAAAATATCTGGTCACTTATGAAACAAAGAGATTATGCAATAAAACAGTATCTCAAATCTAGACTAGAGGAAAATCTAAAGCAAAATTGTATATCTCCATAATAGAGGAAGGAAATGGAAATGCAAAATTGATATGGGAAAATTTGAGAAGTTTAACAGAAACTTACAAAAAGCCAGTGAAAAATATAGAACTTGATCTGAAATGAAAACGCATCTGTGAACCTGGCAAAATAGCAACCATTTTTAATAACTATTTTGTTGTAAAGTGAAGTGAAGTGACCCATACTTGGAATTTGTGCTCTGCATTTAACCCATCCAAGTGCGCACACACACAGTAGGGAACACACACACCGTGAAGCAGTGGGCAGCCATATTGTTGCGGCACCCGAGGTAACAGTTAGGGGTTCGGTGCCTTGATCAAGGGTCTCACCTCAGTCATGGTATTGAGGGTGGAATAGAGCACTGATTATTCACTCCCCCCACCAACAATTTGACAATTTGTAGAGCTTTTGGAGTTTAATTTGTGTGTGTGTGAAGAGAATACTTTGTTTGTTTGTTTTTATTGTTTTTAACATCAACCTGCCATGGGACTATGGATTAAAATTAGCCAATTTTGGCTAAATCTGACACATTTGTCACATGTTGTGTGCATTATTAATGTGCATTGTCCCTCATTAAATAAAAAAAATAAACAAATAAACAAAATGATATTCATCATGCTGATAAAGGCCAGTTCAGAAAAGCATGATCATACTCAACTATTAGTGCAGAACTAGATCATAGCCACAACAGGATTTCAGATATTGAGTGCAGGCTCGCCCTAGTAGGACACTTTTTA